GAACCACCCGCCTCCCCCTGCCTGAAGCCTGCATTCCTGCCTGCTGTCTGGATCTCCCCATAATATCTGTCCTCGATTTCCCACACTATCTTCCCAACCACTTACCCTGTAAGCCACTTGACATATTTTCAATGTCATTTTGTTCTTTCCTCCAGGAAGCCATTCTTGCCTTTCCACACCTGTTCCCACAGTCCTGAATTTCCCTATCACAGCGCTTTTCACCCTCATGTAATTTATTCTAATGTCCCTGATGGCAGGGATAGCCCTTTTCTCCAATGGATCCTCAGCACCAAGAACAGTGCCTGGAGCTTGTGGGTTTCCATAAATGTTGGCTGAATGAATGAATGAATGAATGGGCAAGTTAGTTAACCCAGGACCTGATATTTTTTTTCCAGTCTAGATCATTGTGGTAACCAGCTTCCACAATGGCCCCCGGCAATCCCCACCTCCTGGTATTTACATCCTATGTTGTTCCCTCCACATTGTTCCTGGGTTGATCTCTATGCCAATAGAATACAATAGTGTTGGTATACCACTTCTGAAATTAGGTTATGAAGTCACTACAGCTTCCATCTTGACAGCTCTCTCAGTCTTTCTTGGGTCATTTGCTCTAAAGGAAGACAGCTGCAATGGAGAAGCCCAAGTAGCAAGAAGCTGAGGCTTCCAGCCAACAGCCAGCAAGGAAGTGACGCCTGTCAACAATCCTGCGAGGGAACTTGCAAGTGGATCCTCCAGCCCCCTTTGAGCTTTGAGATGACTAACTGCAGCCCCAGACAATAGCTTGACTGCAACTTCAGAAGAGACCCTGCGCCAGAATCACCCAGCTGAATCACTCCCAGATTCCTGCAAACTGTGAGATAATAAATGTTTGTTGTTTTAAACAGCTGTTTGGGGATAATTTGTTGCACAGCAATAGATAACTAATACAATCATCTAGTTGAAGGGACTGGCTGGGTATTGAGACCTGCCTTGTAACTCGGAACCACAGGATTGCCAGATGGTGGCACCATTACCAAATTGTAAGTTCAGCTACGTTTTGCAAAATATTAACCCCAGAGGCATGACAAACGCCTGAAGTCAGAGATGGGCAAGTTTGTTGCAGACACACGGAAGTGTTTGCCAAAGAATCACACGCAACCATCAGGCCTACACAGTTTATTTTCAGATTGTTAGAAGTAGAGCAAAAAAGTTTCCCCTTACTGACTACTCATTGTCCAAAGAACCTATCTGAGAGGACCAAACAGAAGTGACCAAACTGCTTGGATAAAGCTCCTCAGGGTGAGCTTCTGCCCCACTGCCCTCAGGATTAGGTCCTCCTGACAGCACACATATCAGAGCAACCTTTGGTATAGATCAAGTTGGTCCCTGGAAACTTAGGAGGCAATGAAATGAAGGGGTAACTTTCTCTGCCCCAAAAGACCTCTCCCAATGAAGGTACCAGCTACTACTCCTAAATCAAATGTAAGTTGACATTTGCTTTTCGGGTTCTAAAACTTCCTTCTGTTACCACCTCCATGAGCTCAGAGGAGGCACACGTTTAAAATGGAGAGATAGTGATAGGACAAGCAGGGTTAAGGTTTGGGAAAGGAAGGTTAGGAGGAGAAATGTGTTCACAGAGTATCCTCCAGGCTTACACTAGTGCCGTTAGGAATAAAGCCAAGATCACACAAGCAGCGAGAAGGCTGGGAGTTTCAGGGAATCAACTAGCAATGAAACAAAACTCAGAGATCACAATGTTTGGTTGGTTCAGTTACCTAGACTATAAAATGAGGATGAGAAAATGCCCTGAGCAGGATTTGGGGCAATAAGGCAGAAAAAAACTAGGACACAATGAAAAGAGAGATTTTAGCCTCAGAGAAAGAAAATGCTTGATTGTGGGAGACAGAGTACCATAAAGAACTGAGTGAGAATAGGAACAGTCTTTATTTCTGGGGCACTTAACATATGCCAGACACTGTGCTAGCACATCTCATTCATTATCTTATTTAATTCTCAAAACAGTTCTATCAGTTGGTAGATATTGTTTTCCCCATATTACAAGGACTGAGCCTTACAGCAGCTAAGTAGCTTGCCCAAGGTCACACTGTAGGTAAATTGTGCAGTCAAGATTAAAGCCCAGATCTGCCTGACTGGGAGCTCAAGTTCTTGACATTTTCTAGTTATCAGAATTCTCTCTCCTCCTAAATCCAAAGCTTATAATCCCACTCCCACACACCCACCCCATTGCAAATACAAAAGGCAGAGCAGATATTTCATAGCAGCAGTTTTGCAGAAGACATAGTAGGGACATTTTATATAAGAGGAAAGCCTTTATCACCTGCATTTCAGGGAGTTAGGAAATGGGAAGCAGAAACGAAAATAGCAAGAATGTTGAAAGTACAGTTGATCAAGACCCTGTACTTTGGGTTTTTTTTTTTTAAGTTTTAAAAAAAATTTATTTATTTTATTTACTTTTGGCTGTGTTGGGTCTTTGTTGCTGTGCGCGGGCTTTCTCTAGTTGCGGAGAGCAGAGGCAACTCTTTGTTGCTGTGCGCAGTCTTCTCATTGCGGTGGCTTCTCTTGTTGCAGAGCACAAGCTCTAGACGCACGGGCTTCAGTCGTTGTGGCTCGCGGGCTCAGTAGTTGTGGCGCATGGGCTTAGTTGCTCCACGGCACGTGGGATCTTCCTGGACCAGGGCTCGAACCTATGTCCCCTGCATTGGCAGGTGGATTCTTAACCACTGCACCACCAGGGAAGCCCCAAGACTGTACTTTAAATGCTGAACTGAGAGCAGTTGCAGAGATTGATCTTGTCTTCACGAATATGAGGGCTTTCCCAGTGCTAAGCCACCTGCCAGTGACCCACATATCCAGCATAGGACCCTTGTGGTTATCTGGTCTTCCTCTATCAGTCTGTTTATCACCCTTCATTTGCTTAGTGTCCTGTCTTCTCTGAAAGCCCATAAGTTTAGTAAGGTAGAGACTGTTTTGTGGTGCTTGGTGCCATGTCTGGCATACAGTTGGTGTTCAGGATTTATTTGTGAAGAATGAAAGTATAGCATATGAAATTATAGCACTAATGACAGTATTAGAAAAAAAATCTCAAATTAGTGACGTTTATTTCTACCCTAAAAAACTTGAAAATGAAGAGAAAATCCAACCTGAAGTAAGCAGAAGGAAGTAGAGTCAAGATTAAGGTAGAAATAAATGGAATAGAAAATGTAAAGACTGTAGAGAAAGTCAAGTGAAACCAGAAGCTGGTTCTTTGAGAAAATTAATAAAATTGATAAACCTCTAACCAGACTGATCAGGAGAAAAAAGGAGACACAAATTACCAATATCTGGAATGAGAGCTATAACATCACTACAGATTCTACAGATATTAAAAAGCATAATAAGGGACTACTGTGAACAACTTTATGCCAATAAATTCAGCAACTTCTATGAAATGGAACAGTCTTTGAAATATACAAACTACCGAAGCTCATTCTAGAAGGAATAGATAATTTGAATAGCCTCCTGTATCTATATAGCTATTAAAGAAATACAATTTTTAGTTTGAAGTTTAAAACCTTCTCACATACACAAAAAATTCCTCCTGGTTCTGATAGCATCACTGATAAATTCTACCAAATATTTAAGAATGTGTTTGCAGAGTGAATAAGTGACAATGGATCTGAGGACAACACAGAACTAGAAAAGGACAGACAGAAAAGAAGGGGCTCCCAAGGGGCCTCTGAAAGACAATTCCTAAACTATTTTGGCTAATATTTCTACCAATGGCCTAATGAAGAAGGCTTGGTAGCCAACCTCAGAACCATTGTATAGTGGTGTACATGTGTGGCTGTTCATGTGTACAAACGTAACAAACTGCCCCTCTATCATTACTTAATGATTATTTTGTTCCTCTCCACTAAGCCTATTCTTGTCTTTATAAAGTTCTGAATATAACATTTCTTCAGGAATTGTTAAGGAGAACCAGGTAGATACAAATGATAAGTTTATTCACCATCTTGGTACCCATTTATTCATTCAACAAACATTAACCAATCCCTTGCTATATACCAAGGACTCCCCTAAGGTCTGGATGAAAAGTCCAATAAGACATATTTCCTACCATAACAACCTCCCTGTCTAGAGATATTTACAGATGAAGAATTCAACGGTTAACATGCAGTGGTTGGTGCTATGACAGAGCAATGCTCCAGTGCTAGGAGACTGACAGAGGCCTCTGGAGAAGGTGATCCTTAAACTGAGTTTTGAAGCTGGAGCAGAAGTTAATTAGATGAAGAAGAGGAAAAAGTCATTTGAGCAGCACCTGCATTAGCCTGAAGGCTGAAAAAGCGCATCCGCTTTGGGGAATTACAAGCACTGCACTCAGGCTGTAACAGGAGAGAGAGGTTGCCGATGACACTAGAGCAGCGAGCAGGAGACCAGGCTCAGAGAGTTTAGGCAGAAGTGTGGGCTTTATCCTGAAAGTGGTGAGGAGCCAGTGAAGAGGCTAAGCCCAGGAGTGAAATGATTAGGCTTGAGTTTTAGATCATCCAGCTGATGAATGAATTGCAGGGCGGCCAGATTGGGGGCAGAAAGCTGAGTTTTGAGGAATTCTCAGAGGTTCAGGAAGGAAATAATGAGAGTCTGAACCTAGGTAATGTCAGGGGAGATATAAGAGTCTCAGGGTTTCCCCAGAGTGGACAAACTGGGAAAGCAGCAGCCCTGTGGAATGGCGACTGGACAGGGCACACTCCCTTCATGTGTGTGTCTCCCCCACCAAACTCCCGCCCTTACACAACCGGAAAGAGGAAGGATGTGCCAGGCATGGTGCTGGGTGATTTCCAGATCTCACCTAATTCTCTCAGTAGCTGTCTACCATGTAGTATTATCGGCATTTTACAGATCAGAAATCCAGGGCTTCTGGAACTGCCTGACTCAAACTATAAACATCTACAGCATCTACTTCTTGATGCCCTAATGATTTGTAAGCCAGTCTCACCTGTATCTCTGGGAGGTCTGCTAATTCCTTCACTTTGCTGGTTATATACGGCATCTCTCACCATCAACTCACCTCATTGCCAGAAAGGTGGTACATCCTGGCTTCCTGTAGCAGCGGGAAGACCTCTGGGCATTGTCTGATGAGAGGATCCGCTTCCACCATCTCCACAAAGTACCATGGGTCCAGAAGCGGCAAGCGCACGTTCTCCAGGACATAGGGGAGCAAGCAGAGTCGTTCTGACTGTTTGTGCCTGACCCAGCTCATCACAGTCTCAAACACCTGAGACTCTTCTGTCACATAAAGGTCATCGCTCTTCAAGATGTGGTACAGGGTATCCACAGGAAGTTCAAGGAACTCTTCGGAGTTCAGAATCTGCACAAAGTTCTGGATGATGTAACTTTGAACCTGCTTCTTTAGGCTGTCCAAGGAATGTGCGTCTGCCAGCCTCAGTATTCCAACACAGTTTTCCGGGTTCAAGGCTTCTGTGAGGAAGCTCGCACAGGCATCCACCATCCGCAGGAACTAAGAGAACAGAAGGGCAGCAAATCAGGCCAGAAAATGACTAGTCCACAAGGAGGTTTATCAGTGAGTTGTGTGTAGTAGCAAAAATTTAGAAACAACCTTAGTGACCCACAACAGAGGACTAGCTAAATAAATGAAAATACATTCATATTTTTGACAGCTGTATGGTCATTAAGGAAGCATGTTGTAGAAGAATATTAAATGACATGGAAAATGTTCATAATGTATTGAGTTGAAAAATCCATTCACTGAATCTTGATCAGGTGTCTAGATTTAATCAGCAATTTACAGGAAACATAGGGGAAAGAGGATCATGTTAAGTGACACCATGCGAATACAATCAGCAAAACCCAGACTGTGGGAAACTCTACGGAGCAACCAGTTCGGTTTCTTCAACAAATACATCAAAAGGGGAAAGAGAAAAAGTGGGGTGGGGCAGGGAGGGAGAGCCGAAGCACAAAAAGAGATTTAAAAGATATATCAACCTACTACAAAGTATGCAGCTTATTTGGATCCCTGATTTAAACAAAATTTTAGAAGAGAAATGTTTACAGTGACCAACATTTGGTGATATGAAGCAATTATTATTAATTTCAAGTGTGGTAATCGTTTTGTGGTTATGCTTAAAGAAAACTCATCTTTTGGAGCTATATACTGAAATATTTTCAGGTGAAATGAGAAGGCACTTCACAAAATCATACATACATTGTGATCCTCTTTTTATAAAGAAAAATATATATTGAATATAGGCATAAAAAAAAGACTGAAGGATATAAACCAAAATATTAACAGTTGTTGTCTCTGTGTATCAGGTATCTTGGGACAAATTATGCTGCAGTAACAAACAACCCTCAAATCTCACGGGCTCACAACAATAAATGTTATTTCTCACTCACATTACAGGGCTCACAGGGCTTCAGTCCAAGACCAAGGATGATGGAAAAGCTCTTGACATGCCAGTTTTGTGACAGAAGGAGGAAAAAGATGGCAAACCACACAAAGGCTCTTAAAACTTTTGCTCAGAGGTGGCACATGCCATTTCCACTCACACTTAACTGGCCAGGGTAAGTCACGGGGCAAAATTTGTTGTCAAGGCAACAATAATCCTCCCACAGAAACAGGTCCCATAGGAATAGATGGAATATACTGTATAAATAATACAAGGCACCACACTCTGTAATAACACTATGAGATTTTTTTTTTCTTTTTTTCCCTTTTTAATTTTATTTATTTATTTGGTTGAGCAGTGCAGCATGTGGGATCTCAGTTCCCCGACCTGGGGTTGAACCTGTGCCCCCTTCATTGGAAGCATGGATGGAGTCTTAACCACTGGACTGCCAGGGAAGTTCCGAGATTTTTTTTCTTATTTTGTTTATTTATATACTTTTAAAATCTTCTAAAATGAATAAGTAACACTTTTGTAATAAAAAATTAATTTGTAAGATTGGCTTCCATGACTTATTTTTAAATTATCATCATCTTCGTAAGAATATGAGTCCCATATGCGTATATCGCACTTTACAGCTTACAAAGCCCTTTTGTATTCATCATATTATTTAATACGCATTTTACAGATGAGATGTCTCAAATGCACCTGTCCATTCTATTTGCTGCTCTCTGGAGCTCAGCTTTGAAAGAGTTTAACTTCCTACCTTCCCTCCTTGTCCACTGGGCCCTTTAGAGGGTCAAGTTCTCAATGTTCTTGGTTTGAACAGTTAGAAGGATGGAAAGAGGAAGGCTGAGGGGACAGGGCCTGTTGGGGAGGGCTGGTCTGAAGACGGGGCCTATTGAGAGTACAGATGGGCAGACCTGACCAAGTGGGAGGGCGCAGCCTGCAGAGGAGAAACTCTAATGACAGGAGCCGGGGGTGGTAGGGTTATGGGGCCTGAAGGGAGGGGACAGGACTGGTCTTAGGGTGGACCATATTGACTTAGGCTTTGTTCTTCACTCCAGAGCATTCTAGGGGGCACACGTTCCTAATATGGGGGGATCAATCCCAATTGCAAAATATTATCTTACCCTGTCAGACCACACTTTTCAGTTGTCAATTCAGGAAACGCTGACCTGATGGTCAATGTTGGAGAAAGCCTAAATTCTGCTTCAGACCACCCTGTGAGCTGGCCCCAACGGCCTGCAGATCTGCTCCTCGCATGAGCAACTGAGGAAACAGTTGAGACTGAGAAATCTAACACCTGTTTAGTTGTTTGCAGATTTTCAGTTCAAAGAGTAAAAATATAAAACCGAGACCAAGGCTCGCTGAGCCCTCAGAAGCTGTAACCAGAGCCCTCTGCGGCTCTGCTCACAGAGACATCATGAGGGCTGAAAGGGAACTCACTTAGATGGCAGCCTCCAGAGCAGAACGGCAGGTATGCCTTGCCAGCATTTGCCTGAGAAAAAGATGATATGAAAATCAAAGAGATTTTCTAAATATGTAGACTGTCCCTGGGAGGCCCCCTAAGAACCTGGTAACAAGGTTGCCTCTGGGAAGTGGAACTGGTGGGCAGAGTGAGGGTAGAGAGGGAGAATTACTTTTCACTGTTTACCTTTTTGTACCCCCTCCAATTGGGTGCCATGTGGAGGAATTATCTATTTAAAATAAATGACATTTCTCACAAGTAGAGAAAATACTAGAAGGGAATACATCAAAATGCTAATAGTGGTTGTCTCAATAGAGTTTTGTAGATAAAGTTATTACAGTAATTTGTTTTTTAGACCTTGCTATACAGACCAAGTTTTCTACACTGAGCATGAAGTTGCTTTTAAAATCAGGAAAAAATAAAATAAATACTTTCTTGTGATTTTCAAGTACACAATGAGAAAATAAAATAAAATGTAAAAAAAAAAAAGAGCACATATTATGTGCCAGCCTAACCAGCTCATTTAATACAACAGTACTATAAAGTAGATATTTATTATCATTGCTGTTTTATAGATGAGGAACAGATTCAGAGAAGTGAGGTAATTTCCTCAGAGACTTACAATGAGAGGCAGAGCTAAAATCTGAAATAGTCTTTCTCACTCCAAAAATGCATGTTTTTACATTATTTCAATTTGCCTCCGGTCAAATAGTGTGTGCACGGGACAAGGGCTTGGCAGATGCCGAGGGTCATTTGCACATTTCACTGGAAAACTCAGATGGTCTGATCTGTCCAGACCGAGGAAGGCCTGGCTGATAAGATGCCAGTTGCTACCCCTGTGTGATAAAAACCAATGAGCAAAGAAGGGAACAAGGAAGGAGAATAAAATCAAGTACCAAAGCTCACACGCGTGAACAACAGTGACCCAGACGTGTCGCTCCCCACTCAGAAACCATTCATCCACCTGTTCTTTTCCCTAATATGTATTGAACATTATTAGATCATAGGCCCTCAACCAGGGCTGGGGGTACAGAGGGGAGCAGAAAGAGACACAGTGCCTGTGCTCATCTGAGAAGGTAGACCAGTGTGGGAGGCAAGCAGGAATCAAATAATCACGTGGAATGTGTAGAGTTACAGCCAGGATAAACACTATGTAACAGTTCAGTGATTCCACTGCCTGGACTGAGAAAGTCCACTCCTACCCCTCAAGCTGTGCCCAGTGTGGCTCTAAGTCAGCACTGGGACTGTCCCTGATGGAGTCACGCCTGTCTACTCACCTTCTCCAAATAACCCTAAGCTCACCTGTCACAGTGCCTTTCTATGCTCATACCATTTCCTCAGCCACGACTACCTTTGTCCCTCATCACTATCTGCTAAAATCCTGCTTTCCTCACCCAAGCAAGTCTGACTCTGGGGCCCCACTTTTAAAGAAAGGACTCAGGATAGCTTATCCTAATTGCAACTGAGAACTCCCCTTTTAAGTTTACCTCAAAAGGAAGGAAGAGTGAGTACCATGGCCATCACTTTATCTACACAAGGCTGTTTCCTTCATTCAGAGTTGTTAGATCTGGGACCAACGGATGCTCCAGAGAGTTTATGAACCCCTACATTGTATGCAGACATTTGTTTGCACATGTGACATTTTTCTGGGAATTGTGTTTGCAGGAGACACTGGGTGGCTCTCTGGTATCCATCCACCCAGAGGACAAAGCCAATACGAGAGGGAGAGCCAACCTGAAGGACCAGAAAGACACAGAGCCAGAGTCTTAATCAGACTGTGCTTTGAGCCTTCCCTGCCTCTGGACATTTAAAATTCTGGGTCGATACTTGGTTAAGAAGGAAGGAGAATGGAAGAGAAGGGAAAGGAAAAGAAGTGGAGAAATCCTACCTATTCATGAAGTTCTTTCTGAAAAGCCACTTCCTCCTTCAAGGTTTCTTCAACTGCCCAACATGGAATCAATTCCTCCCTCCTCTGGGCTCTACTAGGCAACTCACTTGCCCCTCTAGCAGAACACTGTACTGCCTTGTACTATGGTCAAGCATCTCAAGGGCAGGTTCTAGGTCATCCGTGTGTTTTTATTTCCAGCAGCACCTAGCACAAACTCTGGCAAAAGGAGAGAAAGAAGGGAAGGGGAGAGAGAGAAAGAAAATATTTTTCAGATACCTAGTAGGTACCAAGATCTGTACTAGACAATTTCCCATCCATTATTTTGTTTAACGAATAAATTTTATTTTTTAATGAATATATTTTAAGTAGGTATTAATATTGCCATCTGTACAGAGGAGGAAATAGAGAATTCAGAGTTGAGTGTGTTGCCCAGGGTCACACAGCTGGTAGGTGGTAGAAGTGATACTGGAGATCACCTGGCTAATTTTTCTCACTGAGCATCACCTTGCCTTTGTGACTGTTGCATTGTTGAGCTAACAAAATTCCAGGAGAGTCTGAAGAGGCCTTATGAGTAGAAGGGTGAGTGGGGGTTCTCCAAGTTGCCTACATTCCCTCCAAAATATGCTTCTATAAACATTTTTGAGTGTGAGGGTTGTGTAGGGCAGCATCATGGGATCCCAACCAATGTCTGGGAAACTGCTGATGTGCAGGGCAGTCATGGGAACAAGAACTTGTTCTCTTTAAAAATATGTGGT